TGTTCAGGGACCCTGAGCTGGGAGACCCGAGTTTGCCTAGGGAGTCTAGTACCGTCGACGTAATGATGGTACTGAGCCTCAACACGTCGTCATTAGTGTTGATGGATGCTCCATCGATGGTATGCCTATCGACATCCCTATTTTTGAGTCCGTTGCACGCTCTTGTTTGTATATCGGTTTTTTTACTATCGTGTTCCAAGTTAACTGACAGCTTGTTCCGAAGACCTGTCAGTAGGACAATGATGTTACTCAGCAAGACTACTGCGTCCGTGCTGCACGTGACACATACCCACTTTTGGTCTGACTTGCTGAGTCTGTTGTAAGCAGTTGCTGTCAGATTTGTGCATGCTTCGTGGAACCAACCTTTGCAGTTGTCGCACTGCATGCCAGTTGTGACAGCAAAACGGCATCCCGGACGTTTGCATGAGTTTTTCATGACGGTGTTGAAGCAAACTATGTTATAGATGCTTGCAAGAGCCTAAGAACTTTTTAAAAAACACTAAAAAGCACACTAAAAACGGACAAAAATGGACAAAACGAGTGATATAAACTGAAACTAGTCTATACGTGAAAAACAAAAAAAACCGAATAGTATGCTGAGGCAAAACCACAGGTAACTATTAAATATAGTGAAACTCAAAAAAAGGTAATCTACCGAACGTATAGCTCAGGATAGATTCTTTAGAACTGAAATGGTACTTTTGTTGCGTAAGAACACAGCAAAAGTTTGATATATGCAAATCACGTTAGGACTAAACTTCCCGTTCGGGAGTTTTGCTCCGGGAACCTACAAAATTGAAGGTTTGTTTTGTAATTGTTATAATTATTGTTATTAGGACGACATTTGGTCGATTACTTGTGAATTACGAATAAATTTGGTATCTAAATTGGGACTTGGTTCTGTTGTTAATTTGGGTTCGTAATTTGCGAGTAGATCGATAGTCCGTACTTCAATAACTGGAACGAGCAAAACTTGGACGTAACACAAAGTTTTTCAATTATTGGTTCTGTGTTCATACATTGGATTTGTCTGGACATTTTGGGTCCGAATTATTGGTCTTATTGGTCGGTTTGTTTGGATTAATTCAGATTTGTTTTGGTAATTGATTATTTGGAACAACAAATACGATGGAAACACCGAGCAGAAGGCTGAAGGAAAATGACGAATTGGATGGTAAAACTATTTAAAAGGACAGTGGTATTCTTTCTCATTGAGTTAATTAACTGTTTTGATCGTAAATTACGCATCAAAACTACTGTTTACACTTTAATTGCATCTACCCCAGTTGAAGTGATATTTTATTGAGTTTTTCGATTTTGCTTCTGTGTATTTATTGCATCGAAGCATACTTGGTCGACTTTTACTTGGTTTATTTAGTTAAGGTTTGAAAATCCTTTAACATATCCTGTTTTTGTCTCCGTTCTAGTTGATTTTCAAGATGGCTAGGTCTACTCATAAATGTGGACAACCATACTGCTTATTTCCCGTGGATGAAGGGATGCAATGTGATGAGTGTAATAAGTGGTTCCATAAGATGTGCACCCGATTAAGCCCCACTGCATATAAAAGGTGCTCAAAGCCCAACTCTCATTGGGTTTGTAGTTTTTGTTGCTCGAGCAAAACATTGCTTATCCAGGAAGCAATTAGTCTCCTGGTGTTGGCTAATAAGAAGGTTGATGAGGGTTGTACTGATAACATTGGTACGGATGGCGAAGATTGCGTTAGTGTCGTAAGTGCTATCACGGCGCAAGCTAGACATCTACCTGTGCAACCCGCAGTTGAACGTTCTCCCCCGAAACGATCAGTGAGTGACACGTCATTAGACGTTGGTGGCCATATTGCTACAGCAGCAACCGGTGACCCAAATAAAACAATTACTGTCCCGAGTTGTTCTAATACAGACGTTTCGACTGATGGAAAATGGATGACGCGAAAACGCAGAAGAGTAGGAAAGATAGCTAAAACTAATGACTGTTTACTTGGTAAGTCCTTGGTGGACTCTCAGACCAATCCGCCAAAGTCTTATAGTAAAGCTTCGTCTGACATTGTTGTTAGTCGTTCGCTTGACTCCCAGGACTCTGTTAAAATAGAAACTAACCGCATATCAACTGGATAGAGCTTACAGCTCCAGGTAGTGGTTTCGATAGCGACCTTTTATCTACCGTTATTCAGTGTGCACTTGTACAATGTATCACAAAACCGACACATATTGATTTGCAACATGTTCCGTCACTGCTGGACCTCGCCCTCACCCACCACTGTGAGGATGTCTTTGATATCCAACACCTTCCTCCACTAGTGAACAGTGATCACGTTGTAATTCACTTTAAGTTTAGGACGCATGGTATACAATTCGTATCTGCTCCACCCCGTCCCAATATCTGGCGAGCTAATATTCCGGAAATCAGAAACCGTGCTATCTTGACCGATTGGTCGGTCGACGCGGATGGATTGATCGAAGATGAATGGAATAAGTTTAAGGCTACATTCGAGTCCGTAACGTCGCCGTTTATCCCATGGTCAGCACGTAAGCCATCACATTGCCCTCTATGGATTAATAAGGAAACCCGGAAGCTGTTAAAGCGTAGGAAACATTTCTGGGACTTATTCTTGTTGACAGGTCATGCACCATTTAAGCGTGAGTACCAGAAATTCCTCAATATCTGTAAGAAAACCATAGCCAAATCCCGTACCACTTATGAACGACAGTTAGTATATGATAGCCGTACTTGTCCGAAGCGATTGTTTTCGTATGTTAAACGGCGAATGAGGCGTAGTGATGGTATTTTCCCGTTACTGTTACACGAAGATTCAGAATTACTAGCTGAATCAGATCGGGCAAAAGCTGAGACTTTTTCAAACTATTTTAGCGAAGTCTTCTCTACGTTTATTGTAACAAATACATGTTCCACTCACACCGAGATACCAACCATTGAATCTGTACAGGTGACTGAGGAAACTGTCCTTCCGTTGATAACTAACCTCAAACCTGGTAAGATACCGGGCCCTGACGGGTTACATCCACGGTTGCTGTCATCTCTTGCGGACATTATTTCAAAACCGCTCGCGACAATCTTCAACATGTCCCTTTCACTCGCTCAACTCCCTAGAGATTGAAAGGACGCTATAGTCAGTCCTATATTTAAGGACGGTCAGAGACAGATAGTATCTAACTACCGGCCTGTCAGTCTAACTAGCATAGTCGTTAAGTTACTTGAAAAGATAATTCGGGTTAGGTTGCTAAGCCACATAGATTTACACAATCTGTTAGCTCCTGAGCAACACGGATTTCGCAACAAGCGTTCCTGCTTGACTAACTTGCTTATTGCGAGGGAGGATTGGACAGCAGCCCTAGATAACGGTCTGTCTGTCGATGTGATATTCATAGATTTTAGCAAAGCGTTTGACAAGGTTTCACACGTAGGTCTTATGCAGAAGCTCACGAGCTTCGGAATAATATGTACTGTACATGAGTGGATAGGAAATTTCTTATGTGACCGCAGACAGAGAGTGAGGGTCAATGGAACGCTATCCGATTGGAAGCCGGTCAAAAGTGGTGTACCCCAAGGCACCATCTTAGGCCCTCTGCTCTTCCTTCTCTACGTTAATGAGTTACCACTGTTACTTAGGTCGTCGACATTATTGTTTGCAGATGATGTAAAAATCTGGAGAACAATAAAAAGTGCGGCTGATCATGTGGATCTTCAAGCTGACTTAGACGATTTAGTTAGATGGGCTCGAGGTTGGGGCTTAGAAATCAATGCTAGGAAGAGTGTACTAATGCACATCGGTCACGGTAATAGTTACCGTTACACTATTGAGGGTAAACCTCTTCCATGCGTTCAAGAGCATAAAGACTTAGGAGTAGTATTAAGTCATGATTTAAAAACAACTGCGCATTGCAAAGCAGCCGCTGTCAAAGGTTTTCGTGCGTTATGGTCACTTCGCCGAGCGTTCAAATCTTTTGACGAGGAAACGTTTCGAATTTTATATCCCATATATGTTAGACCACATTTAGAGTACTGTATCCAAGCAGCTAGCCCGTGTCTAGTAAAGGATACTAACTCCCTTGAGCGTGTCCAGCATGTGGGAACGAAATTAGTGAAGGGTCTTTCTAGACTCCCTTGAGATGAGCGCTTAAAACGCCTAAATCTTTTCCCCTTATCGTATCGTAGGACACGAGGTGACCTTATACTGGCATTTCGTATCTTTAATTATGATTTGGGTGTTAATATGTCTTATCTTTTTGCTCCCTCCAGCACTAATAATCTCCGAGGTCATAGCAAGAAGGTTCATAAACCACGATCTAATAAACTTAAAGTGGGATCCCGTTTTTCTCATCGAGTAGTCAATCATTGGAACGCCTTACCCGAACAAGTGGTATCAGCCCCATCAGTGAATACTTTCAAGGAGAAGCTGGACCTTCACTGGAAAGCAATGTGTCAGGATTAACACAGGTTCATCAACCTATTATCCTTATTACTGAAGACTGAAGACTGAAGACTTCCAAAGCTGTTTGTGGTATGTCTGATGTTAATGATGATAAATGTGATGATGTTAGTCTTAATAGTATGTCCTCTAGCCAGCTAAGCATTACTGAGGAAAAGGAATTTAGAGAAGAGACTTGAATTAGAACGGCAACTTAAGATGTTAGATCTACAAGAGGAGGTTGATATCGCTGAACTAGAATGCAAGGCTATCGAGGTCGATGAACGATTACCCGGGGATAAATGTGGGATAAATGCTAAAGTGGAAAATTATTTGGACTGTGATACTGGGTGTAATAATCACTCAGGGGAGGTATGTAACATCTCAAATGTCGATTGGGTTGGGGAGCTGAAGGACACGTTACATACAATGGTTAATAATAATAATAATATATTTCTGCATGTGCAGGTACACACCGTTTTTACAGGCATGATCTATAAATTACAACATTTTTTGGTTCGCAAAATGCTTCCCAACTTATTAAGTTTATAGTTGTTATAAAGTGAAATCGTAGAGCGCTTGCTGTAAACTATGACCTTGAGAGGACGCGTACGTCAGGTTTTCTCCAAACGTCAGAAGTTTCATAGCTGTGCTCTCAGAGCAAGATTCTGAAAAAGAAAAAAAGAGAAACAGAAGAGCAGCAAGGCACTTGGATATGAACGCCAAAGGTTGCTTAACATAGTGTAGTAGTACGGACAGAGGTAGAATAAATCAGAATAAATTCATATTTTGTATTGTTAGAGTGAAGTGAAGTCCGAGGCTCCATATTAGAGAATGTACTAATAAAGAACAATGAGTTGTGATATTTAACAAGTTGGAGTAAGCCCACATGAAGGAAAGGAAGTCAAGGTTGGTACAAGGGAAGCGGTTTATTAGAAGGGTGTGTATATAGAGGGTGTAGTGTTAAGAATACTAGTGACTATATCTTTTATTGTCTTTTTTCTTTTTTTTTGTCCATCCGATGTCGGCCACGCAATCCTAGTGTAAAAGTCCGAGTTAGCATGTTATAGGTTGTCTTAGTAGAATAGCTAATCCAGCATAATATTGGAAACATGAGTCTGAGTGGTGAGCGCAGGAAGACAATCTATATCTCAGATTGACTGTCTTATTCTCAATTATAAAGAGCCTGGTACATACAAAATGTCCTGTCCCCACAAACACGGGTGGATTGAAGTTATCGCCCTCACCATCAATGCTTGCTGGTCAGTAACGCCACCCTCCCTCCTTTTGTGATGTTAGGCTCATTTAGGCTTATTTTTTGTATACACGTCATACCTCACACAATCCTTTGTTTCACAACCTGTTGGAAAGCACTATTTCTATAAGTACCATTTTACAAGCTTATCAGGCAGTTACAAGCTATGGACTGCGGGTAAAGCATCGATGCAGTGCCTCTGTTGACTATAGTTTAAAGTATAGTTTGCCAATCAGAGTATAAGTGTTAGGAAGGGTATATTGTAGGATAGTTGTTTATTTAAGCAGGCGGAAAGAGTATAGAAGTATGAGTTGTGGATAAGGGAACGAGTGGAGAAATAATATTAATTGCTAGTCAACATAGTGTACAGAAGAGTAAAATGTTGATACAGGATAAACAGGAAGAAACTCACAGTAACTTGGTGCTGATGTTATTTTCTGTTGTCTTAACCAGTTGATTGGTAACATGTTCCATAGATGCAAGACCACTGGTAGTGGGCAGCCGATTGTGCGGTCCTCTTGACTTTTTGGGGTGGTAGTGAGTGTCCCTTATCGACCGAGTTTAGTTTAACAGTAATGATAGGTCCAGTGAGTTACCTGTCTACTTCAAGTGAAGAAATAGGGTGGAGAAAGTAATTAATACAACTGCAAAGTAGGAAAAATAAGGCAAACTGAACTTGAGGTCCATTTTGGTCTAGACATGGAGAGAGCCTATGATGTATGAGTGGGGCGCAGATGTAACATGGTTTTACCTAAGATCGATATGATGTACTTTGATGGACAACCGGGTCAGTATTACCGTTTCATTAGTCAGTTTAATAGCCTTATAGAAAGTGAATTGTCAGATAAGGGCCAATTGTTGTCGTATTTGTTATATTATTGCAAGGGAAAGGCCAGAACAGCAATTGAATCCTGCGTTTCTTTGCCCAGTGAATTGGGCTATGATAGGGCTAAACGAATTTTGTATGATTTATTTGGTAAAGAACATCTTGTTGCACGAGAACTAATTATTGAGTTATTAAACCATAAATCTGTCGGAGGATGGGCTGACGTATTAACTGACTTTGCGATTAAGTTGCGTAATGTATGTATAACGTTGAAGCAAATGGGATATATGTCTGACGTTGATTCTACGGCTAATTTGGAGGTAATAGTTTCATGCCTACCACTAGAAGTGCAGAATAAGTGGGTGGAAGTCGCCGATAATATCATGATGCAAGGGAAGGAGCCGAGCTTTGAAGAATTTGTGGTCTTTGTAGAAGAGAGGGCCAGAATTGCCCGAACCCGTTATGGTAGATTAGTACAGTGTAACTCAAGGTTCGGTAAAAGGAATTCTGAAGGCCAAGCTGATAGGAGATCACGCTTTCATGCAATTAGACGAGACCCGAATAGCTCAGTCAAGGTATCACATTGTGAAATCTGCGTAGGTGATCATGAGGCGACAGATTGTCCAAGGTTAGCAAAAATGAATCTAAAAGAAAGGAGGCAGGAGGTAAGAAAACGTGGTCTATGTTACTTATGTCTGAGGAAGGGTCACATAGCTATGACATGCAACTCAGGCATCAAGTGCGACGTTGAGAATTGCAAGGTTAAGCATAATTCATTATTGCATATTGATAGTATTGATAACCATGTGGTGAACCTAGCTAAGGATTGGAACTCTTCAAAGGTTTGTTTGGGGATCGTTCCATTCAGACTATACGGTCCCAAAGGATGTTTGGAAACATATGCACTTCTAGATAGTGGTTCGGACACTTCTCTTGTATGTGAAGAATTAATTAATCAGTTGGGTATCAAAGGTAAAGAGACTTCGATAAGGGTGGCGACTGTGAACGGAACTACCAATTGTGATTGTTTGGAGGTAAATTTAGAGGTATTTTCATTAGATGAACAAGGTTCTGTAAGGATCAACAAAGTTTACACGACCAAGAAACTTCCGATCGATCATGCAGCACCTTTAACCGAACTCCAACTGAAACGGTGGAAACATCTTAAGGACATAACCCTTCCGAGATTGCAAAGTAATTTTGTAGGAATATTGATTGGGTGTGATGCTCCGGATGCACATTGGGTCCTGGAACAACGTCTGGAGGACAGGAAGCATCCGTCTGCTGTGCGTACTCATCTTGGTTGGATGATTATAGGTCCTAGGGGAGTATCAAGGTCTCTACATCAAGTTCAGTGGTGTCATTGTTCCACTAATGATATTTTGCGAGATTTAGAAAGACTATATAATCATGAGTTCGAGGATACAGATACGTTTCGTAATGGATATTCTGTTGAAGATAAAAAAGCTCTAGAAATAGTTAGCAGTTCGTTTAGATTGGAGGGTGGTCATTTCCAAGTTGGTCTACCATGGAAGTATGATAAGCCAAGACTACCGAATAATTTGGAACTGGCTGGACGCAGACTGGAATGCTTAAGGAGGAGGTTTATGAAAGATAACAGTCTTTTGGAGAAATATCAAGTTGTGAGGAATAAACATTTAAGAAAGGGCTACATCATTGAAGCTAGTGAAGAGGGATTTGACTATGACGCTGTTTGTTGGTATATTCCTCATCATCCTGTTATCAGCCCTAAGAGGCCTGGAAAATTGAGAATTGTTTTTGACTGTGCGGCTGTCTATCAAGGTTGTTATCTTAATGACCAGCTTTTGAGAGGACCGAATACTGTAAATAGTTTAATTGGTGTACTTCTACGATTCAGATTAGGTAACGTAGCATTAGCTGCTGATATCGAAGAGATGTTTCTTCAAGTAAAGATTCCGAGACAAGACAGGGGAGCATTTCGTCTATTGTGGTGGGAAGACGGTGATATACGACGAACGGCTAAGGCAAGAGTAGCCACCTCGAAGGTCCAAGCTATACTGCGCTTGGAACTTACAGCAGCAGTTTTGACAGCTCGCATGGGATCCCAGCTGCAGTCAGAATTAGATATTAAGTTGGCAGAGGTTAATTTTTGGACGGATTCTATGATTGTCTTACACTGTATTAGAAATGAGAAAAGCCAGTTTAAAACATTCATAGCAAATCGAATTTCGACTATTCAGAGTCTTACTAAGGTGGACCAATCGAGATTCGTACCTTCTAAAGAAAACATATCAGACTTTGCATCCAGAGGGGTCAAGTTCGACATTGATGATGTCAAGGTATGGGAGTAGGGTCCACGTTTTCTCAAGAAGTCGAAGGAGTGTTGGCCTGCCGATGATGTACAAGGTCCTGACCCTCATCTATTGGAAATAAAGAAAGCAATATCGGCGCATGTAATGGCTGAAAAATCCACTGTTGATCAACTTATTAATTATTATTCAGATTGGACTAGATTACTTAAGGCTGCTGCGTGGTTAACCCGATTTAAGCTATATTTACTGGTAATGCGTTCTGGTAGAACTGATCTGTCTCAACAGGTGGGTATGCTTAGATTTGATGGGTTAAATTTCGCTTGTTTAGATTTAATTCTATATGTCCAACGCATAGTATTTCGGAAAGAGATTGAAATGTTATCGTCTGATACCATTAGCAAGGTGAAGATAACGAATTCACCGTTACGAACTTTAGATCCAATGATGATTGGAAGATGGGCTTTATGTTCTGCGGACTCAAATAGTTGTTTGTGTGTGAATATGCAATGGTGCCTGAAGCCATGTGTTATGGTTATTCATTTTCTAAAAGAACTAGAAGGGTCCAATGTTACGATTTGAAATCAGAATAGAGAGTTCGCAGTAAATAAAGGAATTAATGGATTGGTCCTCTATATGTGTTTATATATTCATGTTTACGTTAGCGTATATGAGCTTCTATGGAGGATGAAGCATTTTGTTAGATGGTTGATATTGCGATTGTTTATGTTGGCGCAAATATTTTGGAAACGTTTGTCTAAGGAATATGTTTCATTGTTGCAACTTAGACACAAATGGACTCAACCAGAGATGAACATAGGAGAGAGTAAGTTGGTGACGACATGTACTGGGTTTTTAGAGAAAGACAAATGGTTATTAGGTCTGGTAATGAAAGTGATACCTAATATAGATGGGTTAAGACCGATGGAGTTGCGGACAAGCGTAGGGATCTTGGTAAGAGATATTAGAAAACTGCGTCTAGAAGTTGTAGATATTAGGTAGCTACTCGGATCCCTAGGCGTACTGGTGTAAGTCCTAGGGATCACGAGATTGTTGATATATTGAGTGTTTGTTGTTGATTGTTTGTGATGCATATATTTGGATTCTTGTTGTCTATTTATTTGTCTGTGAAAAGAACCAAGGTTCTTTTGGTCGGGAGTGTTACGGGAGAACTGAAGACATTTGGCGGATTAAAACCTTTTATTGTACATTAACAATTTACTGTGTTTTTTGGATGTAATTGTTTTACTTAACTTTTGAACTTGTTTGTTTATATCTTTATTTCGGACGTTTTGGTTTGTCTTTGGTTTGGTATTTTGGTGCTCTCTTTGTCTTTGGTTTGGCATTTGGGAGTTTTGCTCCGGGAACCTACAAAATTGAAGGTTTGTTTTGTAATTGTTATAATTATTGTTATTAGGACGACATTTGGTCGATTACTTGTGAATTACGAATAAATTTGGTATCTAAATTGGGACTTGGTTCTGTTGTTAATTTGGGTTCGTAATTTGCGAGTAGATCGATAGTCCGTACTTCAATAACTGGAACGAGCAAAACTTGGACGTAACAGTCACGCTCCCAGGTCGTCAAGACCAACACTAATCCAATTTCCTTTTCAGGTTCATCAAGAAATACCCTTCCACGGTGTGGGCAACCGGGAAGTGACATCAGCCCTCATACCCGTAACAGCACACGAGACCAAGTTGGTCACATTCAAATCCCTCCTACGTCTCCTAATACCTCTCTTATCTCCATGACTAACCCTCCTCACGTCTCTTTATCATCTCGCACCACTAGAGCAAACGATTCGAGTACGTGGAACGCCATTACTGGTCTCCTGAAACCACGCTCTAAACTACACGTAGGAGCTTTTAACGTACGAACACTTTGCCAAATAGGACAACAGGCTTCCTTAGCTAGGACTTTGGAATCCCGCGCCATCGATCTGTGCTGCGTCTCCGAAACGCGCATACAGGACCCGAGTGGCGTCATTCATTTGACATCACCATGCCAAAATAAAGAACCGGCTCGGTTCACACTTCGTGTATCTGGAAGCCCTGATTCTGCTTCCCGTGGCCTCGCCGGCGTAGGTATAGCATTGAGTCTTAGGGCAGAACTAGCTCTCTTAGACTGGATCACAGTAGACAGTCGTTTGTGCGCTGTCCGACTGAACGGAACAATAAGGACTCGGAAAGATAGGGACACTCGTCGTTGCCTCTTCGTCGTCTCTGCCTATTCCCCCAATGACTGCAGCTCAGATGATGTAAAAGATGAGTTTTACAGAAAGCTTTCCGACCTTCTCCGAAAAGCTAGGCGCTCTGATGTAGTAATAGTGGCTGGTGACTTTAGTGCTCAAGTAGGTAAACTAAGCGCTGGGGAAAGACACCTAGGTGGATCTTATGGTGTCGTGGCTCAAAGAACAGATAATGGCGACCGTCTGTTGCAGCTATGCTCAGATAACCGCCTGTTCCTTGCAAATACTAACTTTAAGCATAAGGAAAAACATCTTTTAACATGGCGACCCCCTAATTCGTCCCAACGTTGGACCCAAATAGATCACATCGCTATCAGCCACCGATGGAGGGGCTCGATAGAAGACTGTCGCTCATTCTGGAGCACATGCCTAGATTCAGATCATGCTCTAGTGCGAGCGCGTATTTGCTTGCATCTTACAGGACGTAGGAAAAACGCTGCGAGGAAACCTCTTGGGGGCCTACTTAATGATAGTCAAGCTAAGAGTATATTTCAGGAACAACTAGGAAAACAGTTAGGCAGCCATGTATGTGATGCCCACCCCGAGGCAACATGGAATGATATCCGAAAAGCTGTGGAAACAGCAGTGATATCTGCCAGTAAGGTAACCCGTAAGGTTAGGGAGCAACATTGGATCTCAGCAGCATCTATCTCACTGATAAATGCTCGGAAACTCATTTCACCTGACTCTGAACACGACGAAGAGCAGAGTCAGCTTAAGCACAAGCTGACAAGAAGCCTAAGCAATGATCGTGAACAGTGGTGGGTAGCGAAAGCAAGAGAGATGGAAAAGGCAGCGGCAATAGGTAATAGCAGACAATTGTTCAGACTCGTTAAGGAAACCGGAATTAGGAACCCGACTGTTAGCGAAACAACATTAGAGAAAATGGACATATTATACATTCTCAATCCAGGAGATTGGATCGATCGATAGGCAGAACACTTTAGGGATCAGTTCAACTGGCCTTCAGCCACACTTCGGTTTCCCACTATCTCTAGTCAACCTGAATGGCAAGTTAATGTAGATCCTCCGTTTCTTTACGAAGTTGAAAAAGCAATAGGAAATCTGAAGCGAGTGAGAGCAGCAGGCTCTGACAGGTTTACTCCTGAGATTTTTAAGGATGGTGGTCCAGTATTAGCAGCAAGATTGACTGAGGTCTTAGGTAGAATTTGGGAACTGGACGTAATCCCATCTGACTGGTCTCAATCACTGATTGTGCCAGTCTATAAGAAAGGACAAAAGCCCTCTTGTGACAATCACAGAGGAATCAGTCTGACTAATATAGTGTCTAAAATATTAGCTTCAATAATACTTCGACGCCTAATCGAAGCTCGTGAAGAGCAGACTAGAGAAATCCAGGCTGGTTTTCGACCTGGACGTGGTTGTATAGATCAGATATTCACACTACGTCAGGTTCTAGAACACAGACTCTCGTTCAGACGCCCCACAATGGTAGTATTTCTCAACCTTAAGGAGGCATTCGACTCTGTTGATCGTAAAGTTCTATAGGCATAAAGAGTTCATCAATTTGTGTGTGGGCTGTTATACTGCCCGGGTGCCCAAACCGAAGCAGGTGGTTTTCTTAGGGGGCCACTCCCCGAGCCTTTGACCTAAAGGTCTAACCCACAAGGCAGTGGAGCATCGTAAGGAGATGCAATCCCATGGTAGCCGGTGACCAAAGATTGGTTCATACGCCATTTGTTCCCACAGGATACTGGAGCCCATGTGCACCATTGGTTTGTGATCCGGTTAAAGCGCCGGACATTCGCTTTTCGTCCTCTCACTTTTGTAAACAACACCCGCCACGAGAAGGCAATGAGTAGGACTTCCCTGGCAGAGGCTGTATGCGCGCGGCCGTGTGAGAGCATTTCGAGAGGGAGAGCGGACTCACCCCACTCTCGGCCGTACCAGGGCATTCGGGGCACTCTTTATGCCTATGGAAATTACCTTTCTCGCTTTGAAAAACAAATAAATAAATAATAAAAGTTCTATGGCAGTACCAAAGAAGTACATTAACCTTATAAAGGCTCTCTACTCGAGCACAACTGGTCGAGTGAGGGCATATGGCGAACTGTCATCAGAATTGATTACCTCAAGTGGTGTTCGTCAGGGCTGTCCACTCTCTCCATTCTTGTTTAACTTTATCGTAGACGTGCTTTTAGATATAACACTCTTTTCATCTAAATTTACAGGGGTTGAACTTCTACCGGGAGATTCACTTGTTGACTGAGAATATGCTGATGACATAGTTTTATTTGGTGAAGACGCTGACAAAATGCAGTCTTCTGACCAATATAAGCAACAATGCAAGCATGTTCGGGATGCGATTCTCCCCCTCGAAATGCAAAATGTTGCTCCAGGATTGGGTCGCATTGACATCCGAACTAATGATAGGGAGTGAAGTATTTGAGCGTGTCGATCGCTTCACTTATACTGGAGGTCACATCAGCCCTTGTGGTCTGGTGTGTGACGAAATCTCAGCACGGATACAGAAGGCTGGACTAGCTTTTGCCAACTTGCGTCATTTATGGCGTAGGCGAGATATCCGTCTATCAACCAAAGGACGGGTTTACTGCGCAGCAGTTCGTCCCGTCCTACTTTATGGCAGTGAAACATGGTCGGTAAGAGTAGAGGATATTCGTGGGTTACTAGTATTTGATCATAGGTGTCTTCGAAACATTGCTCGTATATCCTGTGACCATCGAGTAAGTAATGTAGTTGTTAAGAAACGGGTACTAGGTAAGGATGGAAAATCAATTGATGACGTAGTGAAACTCCATCAGTTGAGATGGCTGGGAGACGTGTTACATATGCCCAACCACCGACTGCCTCGACGTGCGATGTTCAGTGGTATAGAAGTAGATTGGAAGAAAGCTAGGGGCGGCCAGACCGAAACATGGCACAAGTCCATGAAGTCACTGACAAGTGGTCTGAGTCATGTTGGTAGGTGTAGACTACCTGGTTGGGGACCGCGAGATGGCAGCAACCGATGGTTAGACACCCTGAGTGACATGGCTCAAAATCGTATGCAATGGCGCAGGTGCATACACTCTTCGTCTTCTCCCAAATTTCGATCTCCTTATTCCTCCTCATCTTTTTTTCTCTTCCCAAATTTATTTCACTGGATTATACCCTTTAAGTAACATCTCCAAACCCTTATCGTTCAGATTACTGCTTATACTCTTATTACCTCTACCACTACGGGATTTGAATCGACCACTGCATCTCTGTGCTAATGTGGTATGGCAACTCGAACTGATGTACGTACTTACGAAGCTCTACGTTGTTACTGACTGACTGACTTTTCTATTCAGCTAGAAGCTGGTTTGTCCTCTTCTTCAGTAAGCTGTTACTGATGGTATCCGTCCAACGGACATTAAGTATCTTACGTAGACAACTATTTATAAATACTCGTACATTTTTTATGATGGTTGCGGTAGTTCTCCAAGTTTCAGCTCCGTACAGTAGAACTGTCTTGATGTTCGTATTGAAAATTGTGACTTTGATGTTGGTTGGCAGTTGTTTTTAGTTATATATGTTTTTCAACTGTAGGAATGCTGTCGTTGTTTCGCCAATCCGTTTATTTATGTCTGCATCGGATCCTCTTTGTTCATCGATGATGCTGTCCATGTACGTGAAAGTTTCCACCTCTTACAGAGTTTCTCCATCAAGTGTGATTTGGTAGGTGTTCTTTGTATTGTATTGTATTTCAGGATCTAGCTTTTACCCTTATGTATGTGGAGACTTACGCTACAAAGGCTTCTGCTACACTGACTGACTTTACCTGCATTTGTTCGTGTGTGTGGGATTGAAGGAATAGGTCATCAAAAAAGTGCAAATCGTCTAGTTGCATGCAAGCTATCCTTTGTATTCCGTGCTTCTCTCTGGATGTTGAGGTTCTCGTAATCCAGTTGACCTCCATAAGGAAGAGGAATGGGGAGAGTAAGCGGCGTTGTCTGACACCGGTCTTCTCTTGGAATGCATTTGTCTTTCATGCAGCACTTTGCAACGCAAATTGTGATTCCCTTCTTCTTTCTTTTGAAAGATGATCCTGGACCCATTAAATTCTCATCTCATAAGTGCTTTTCGTGCTTTATTGGACAACACCAGTGCAGCTCCTTGTGTATGCTAAGCATCTTCTTCTTCGTGACGATAGTAAAAGAGCATCTCACCCAAATCTGACTTTGTCTGTCCCGCCTGGGTCCAATCAGTTTCACTGATTCCGAGCACTGCCATAATGTATCTACTCAATTCCGTTGATATTTGACTGGTCCTCCCGGTTTCCCACATTATCCGAACGTATTGTATTAGGAAT